GTCTCGCTGTTTTCCTTGGCCAGAGGAAAATTAAGCACTGTTTGGTACGAATGTAAATATGCGGGGCTCTATTGATGTCTTCCGATGGGGTCCCTATTGCCAACCACTCCCTGACTTATCCAACCAGATCTAATAACGCGGAGCCCACGGGACACCATCATGGAAACTCATCATCCTCATCTGTAGCCCAAAAAGCCTCGTCCAGCAAGTCCGCATGCTCTTCATCTACGGTTGCAAGTGCCTCTTTGGGCCTTTCAGCGTCTGTGACCGAAACTACACCCTGCATTGCAATCTCATACTGAATGGGGCAATCGGTGGGGCTCGCCCATGGAGCAAAGACAACTGAGAAGGTCCTATTTTTCTTCTTGTCTTTCCACGTATTTCCGCCCGCGTATTCCTGTCGTTCACCCTCCATCTTAAGGACAATGCGAGCAGAAATTTGGTTGGCCCATGCCAGTCCGAGCGCGGGTGTCTTTAATTGTTCCTGCATACTAGTCTTTCCTTTCTCGTCTCCCCACCCGGTGAAGAAGCGCTGTTGGTGATCAAGGCTCTGGGCCTCCTTACGCCGCTCCACTACCGCCGGTGCATGTATGCTTGGTAAGGCAGGAGAGGAAGTCATTGCCGGTGATGAAGACTGAGGTAGAGTTTTGTAATCATCGAAGCGGTCCGATACTTGATTGGTGACCACAACCGCGATGTTGTTTTCGATAGCGACTCGTCTTAGCATGTGCCCCAATTTGGCCAGCTCGAAGGCGCGGTCAGCGAGTTGAGCGGGCGTCCGGGTCTCATGTTCGGCTCGAAAGTTTGCGGCCACTGAATCTAGAACGATCAGGCCGATATTGAATCGCTGGACCGCAACAGGAAGCTGATACCGAAGGATGTGTTCTTGTGCCTCCAGGTCGTTGGTCACAATGGTATGCACACGATCAAGTGATGGTCCTTGGTCAGGCTTCAAGCCGTCGTACTCGGGATGGTGAAGAAGCATCTGGCTCAGCCGCTTGGTATGGAGCGGTCCTTCAGTTGAAACGTAGATTGACCCTTTTCCGAGCCCTTTGGGGGGCGGCAGTTGAACAGACAGCAACAGCCCCAGGACGAATTGAGTCTTTCCGACAGCACTCTCTCCGACCACCTCTGTGATGTGCCCTGGGTACAGGCCTCCATTTAATGCTTGATCTATGTTTGGATCCAAGGTCCTAACTTTCAACGGTAAGTCCATCTTTGTCCCCTTCGCTTGTGGTCTATCGTCTGCTGTCTCTTCTACATCCGGAGCTCTAATCTTGCGCTTCTTTCTTACTCCTTGCAGTATGTCGTGTTGCAGAGCCTGAATGACATCTTCCACCAATCTTTTAACGTCGGCCGAAGGAAGAGGGCATTTTCTTGCAATCTCTTTCGGATCTAGAGAGATTAGGTCGGTGACAGTAATGTCGTTTTTCTCTAGGGAATGGAGGAGATGCGTATAGGGTTTGAGGTCAAATTCAGGGAGGACTTCGAGGAGATCGGACATTGGGCCTGCGCAGGATCATAGAAGCGTGTCGATCGGGGTTGACAGCCATTGTCTACCCTCAAGCCGCGAATCCAAGAACGTTGTTGTGCACATGGAGTCCGAGCAGGAATTGATGTGTACCAGCAAGTGTGGACAAGGATGCAGATGTGTTCGGACCGAGCCTCTTTCGAGATCCGCCGTTTTGAAGCCAATGTGGAAGTTGTGTGTCTCGCTGGGACGGTCAATGGCAAGAAGCGTGTACCGAGGTGCTCGTAATATACGTATTGCAAATGGCGCGATGCCCTCTTAGGAAGGCCCCCACAGGCTGTTTTGCGCGAGGCGACATCCACAAGGCCCCAGTAAATCATGCAGCTTTAATAAGCCACTGAAGATGACCCTCATAATTCGAGTTCGGCCGCGATGAGTTTTCTTTATGGGCAAAATTACCACCATGACTCCTCGCAAAGTCGCAGAGTATGGAACGTTCAAGAGTCCCATTGAGCCGCAAAGCTTTGCAGCTCCGGGGACCGTTGTGTTGAATCAACTATGTGTCAATGTACGACTGAGCGTTGTCGTCTGCAGGATCACGCTGATATGTAGGTAGCGCAACAATGGTAAAATCTATCTCCTTGAGGTACGGCCAGACGAGGGAGGGAGAGGCGTCATCGTCGAGCACTACAACGGACAGAGGAGAGACGTCCTTCCCAAGCAATACAACTGTTTGTCCCAGGTCCATGAATATGGCGGTGCCTCCTTTGTCTTTAATGAGTCTACAGGCCATATCGTCTTCACGGATTGGGAGACCAAGGGTGTTTTCGGTCTCGACCCTGAAGCAGGCGAAACCATCCCCGTATTGAAAGCGGATCCCAAGGTATACTACGCCGACTTTGCTATCCACCCTTACCATTCTCAATACACCGTGGCCATTAAAGAAGATCATCATGCTCCCAAGATTGCAGACATACAAAATTCTCTTGTGGTCATTGACTCGTCCACAAACGAGGTTCGGCCCCTTGCCACTGGTTCCGACTTTTACACATTTCCAAGATTCAGTCCCGATGGGACGAAGATATGTTGGATACAATGGGATCATCCCAACATGCCTTGGGATAAAACAGAGCTATGGCTCGCTGACTGGGAAGATGGCAAGGCCAAGAGCCCTAAATGCATTGCTGGCCAGCATGCCAAGTCCAGCATAACCCAGCCACGCTGGGGTGATGATGGTGTGCTCTACTTTGTCTCTGATCAGACCAATTTCTGGCAACTATATTCGTTCTCCAACGGTGAAGTACAACAACTCATATTGGCGGGCCTAGAGGACGCGGAATTTGGCTTTGCGGATTGGTTTCTGGGATGCTGTAAGTTCCCCGTTCCTCTAGAGAACCATGTTGCACTTCGCAGGGATCCCGTTGCAGGGCTCGGCCACACTTCGCCATGAGCTAAGAGATATTGGCAGCTTCCTATTGCCTCTTGGATCCTTCCACCATGGTGGCCGTCTTCAACTATCAGGGCCGCTGTACCACCATTCTCGCAGATACGCGAACACTTGAATGGAGAGATCTCAGCTGCCCGATTGTCGAGATCACGCTTGATGCCCTGAAGCCAGTATCTGACACCTCCTTCGCTATCATAGGAGCAACTCCTACCATTCCGATGCTGGCTACAGTGATTGATATCAATGAACAAGGACTTGGAACAATCTTGCAAAAGTCGACCCAAACATCCCTTCCAGAAGATTATGTATCCCTTCCACAAGCTATTACCTTCCCACGAATACACGGTCCCGGCGGTGGTAATGCATATGGTCTCTTCTATCCTCCGAAGAATCCACAATACGGAGCTCCAGCTGGCACGCTTCCCCCCCTCATTGTCGCAATCCACGGTGGGTTCTCCTCTGCCTTAAGCGTCTGCTTTGTATATCAAAGATTTAATTCTTTCTGTGTTAATATCAGTGTAAACTAACGGTTGTCTATCAGGAGGTCCAACATTCCAAGAAGGGCCAGGATTTTCACTTCGCGATCAGGCACTTACGACTAGGGGCTACGCGCTGGTGCAAGTCAACTAGTAAGTTATCTGACTTGTTGTAGGAGTCTTTCGAATTTGGAGAACTCATCGATCTCGCTTGTTTGATCTTGCTACAAACTAACACATATCCGCAGTGTCGGAAGTACTGGCTATGGGCGTCCATACCGCAACCTGCTCGCCGGGCAGTGGGGAGTTAGCGACATCGCAGATGCCGTTTCTGCCGTTGAGTACCTAGCTCAGCAAGGGCTTGTTGACAAATCACGGGTGGGAATCACGGGCCATTCTGCGGGCGGCTATGCGACGATGCAAGCTTTGGCCAAATACCCTTCGGCGTGGGCTTGCGGAGTTGCCGAGAGTGGAATATCGGATATGAAGCTCCTTGTTGAGGAAACGCATAAGTTCGAATCCCAATATCTGTCGCCATTATGCTATCCTCCTGGCACCTCACCCGCCGAGCAAGAAGCTATCTTGAAAGACAGGAGTCCTCTAACTCACGCTTCGGAAATCAAGAGCCCGCTACTGATTATCAGTGGAGCAGATGATGCTATTGTACCGCCAAATCAAGCATACAATTTAGCGAAGATCGTCAAGGAGGCAGGCACAGCAGTGGACATCAAGGTCTACGATGGCGAGGGACATATATTCAATAAGGGGAGCACGCTGAGTGATATCGAGCGGAGACGGTATGAGTGGTTCGAGAAGTATCTGACTAGGACAACTTCGTCGTAGTACGAGAACATGAGTCTACGAGGATGCGCGGAAGAGGCCTGTTACCAACTGTACCAATAGATTACTGGCGTGTCAAGAGGACGCCGTCGATGAGTACACAAGAAATGGTATGTTTCATAGATCACTCAGGCCCATCGTGATTGTAGAGTGTCGAATTTCGAGGCCTATCTTAGACACGGATGTCCCGCCTTGAAGGCGTTCAAGTTCTTCTGCACTCTCTTTAATTTGGATAGAGATACAGTGGACAACAGCCCTTTCAGAGAGGCACAAGAGTCCATGCCATACATAACATAGTTCAAGTTTCCCATCAGGCCATGCCGAGCAAGACGCAGGCAGAGATTCCAAGCGCCTCCGAGTCCTGACGTGGAGGGGTTAATGAGCAAGCTACAATAGAGGCTCATTACTGCAGATTTGCATGAACAAACTCGACGGGTAATTGTTCTGACTGTTCTGTATTGATTCAGGACTGGACGCTCTATCCTGTCTGTTTCATTTACCTGCCACTACAGAAGCCGTAGGTCGTTTCCTTCATGGGGGTTCTATTTACCCGTCAAAACGTGCAATTGGATTAGAAGAGAAGGAAAGGGGAGGAATTGTTGACTCGCCGAGCATTGACGAGGCCACGAGGCTGGGAAATCGGAGAGTTGCAGCCCCGTTTTCCGCTACAAAGCTCGAATCTGCTGAGCTTCGCATTTTCCCCTCATACCTCGCGTAGGCTTGACTCCTCGGCTTTGAGGTCTCTATCACTTTCAGGTTGTACACCATGGCATCCGTTGCTCAGCCTTGGCTGTTTTCAAAGTAAGCCTGTTCTCGTGTCACTTTATGGCCTTATCTACGGTCCCCAAAGCTAACTGACATCTTTCATTCTGCAGATTCATTGACCCCGTCTTCGCTATCTGCGTTGGGCTTTCTGCAGCGGCACTGCGCATCCAACGTGAGCAACGCGAGAAATACCCTCAAAAGGATTCCAGCTTTCCTGCACTGTGGCAGAAAGGTCGCAAGATGAATAAAATCTATTGGGCGAAGTGATTTTGCGGAATGAGCAAGAAAACACACTCTTCAGATACCAGCCGTTCAAAAACAAAAACACGATGGGAGGTGGACCATAGCGGGCGATCGACCATAAGCGAGACGGCAGTCTTTGAGTGCCACAATGCACGCCGATGAGCTTTTCAAGCCACGTGCCTTCACTGTTCGCGTGTCGACGCCCAAATTCAAATATCAAGGGTGTCCAGGGAGACAGAACTTGACCGTCCATATCTCTTGTGCGAACAGGATGATGAAAGAGTGTTGTCCTCCTTTGGGAGAGTCAGTACCCGAGGAATTTGACAGAAAAGTGGTCTTAAAATGTCTCTCTCTTTTGACTCCCGATCTCTGAAACGGCTTGGGAAGGATCAACATGCGGAAGTCAAAATGCGAGAGAGATCATCTACTTTGAAGTCGTGCCATCTGAGACAGGAATACAGAATACGGTTGCCAAATGCCCTGCATTGACTCAACCCATCATTTCAACCCTCATATAGTGCTACGTTCAAAGGAAAGCCGGAACCTGCTTCGCACCCTCGATCGGCTTCATGTAGCTCACGCGATCTTTGACGTACAGCTCGGCCTGCATCTCCTTGACGTCTGGTTGATCTAGACTCCCGGCCTGTAACAGGAGAGTTAGCAAGGCATTCCGGCATCGTGTCACCTTTCTCCTTATGCACGATCGTCACCAAAGCCGTGCTTGAACGATGCCACTGTGTGCCAGGATCATGATGGACGAAGAATGGCACCACTTACTTTGACAACGGTCTTGTCAGGCATGACTTCCAACTCGCAATACAGACTTGACCCACAATGTCCACAGAAGAAATGGCGATTGATTTTACCACTGTCACCAAGGACGTCAAAAGCTTTTGGCGTCCCTGGTTGAACCAAACATATCAGCATTCGTTAAGATGGCGGAAAGTATTCGGTGAAGGCGAGCGAGCGGCGGACTGCCGCTCTCGTCAGTTTCTTACCGGCAGTGACCTTGAAGCTTTCACGGTCAATGACAACATTAGGGAGTCCAGCTGAGCCGCCCCAACGTTGACAGTCTTTGCAATTGCAGAACGCTTTCAGCGCGATGTCGCCTGTGAACTCATACTTAATCCGACCACAGAGGCAAGTACCGGTAGTGGCAGACATGGTTGTAAAGCGTGGGTTGCCTGAGGCCTTTGTCGGGCGCGGGAACAGGCAAAAGGGAATGAACACCAGAGCGACAAATGATGGAGAAATAAACCGACAGTCAAGAGTAACGGGGATGTGCCTCGTCTCTTATACCTTTGGGTTCGATTGATACCAGGCGCACGCCGACCCATACAATGACAAGGCAACACTTTGTTGGCCATCGTGTTGCCAATGTGGTGCCACCTGTGCACTCAGTCTTTCATGGATGACCGAGACACCAAATACATTAAACTCCGTGTGCATCGTTGACACAATAGTCAAGTCTTCCAGAGGCCCGTACCGTACCGTTCTAGAGGAAATAGAGAAGCAATTTGCGAGAAGGATTAACGCTCGGGGAGCGGTGAGCTAAAGAGAGATGGATGATACGAGAGCCGATGACACGTTCCAAAAATCACATGCAAATAGGACAATCAGCAATTCCTAGCGAGCTAGATTGGAACTCCGATCGGGTAGTAGATTGTTACCTGCTTCAGATACAGGGTACTGATCTCCCAAACTTTGCATGGTTATTTAGCCCCCCAGATACATGCAACACGCCCAATCGACCGAGGATGTGCCTGCTGATTCCCTACTCGGGAACTTTCGAGCTAGTTCATTCACTGGCCACCTGCATTTTCTTTCTACTCAGCCTGCGCCAGTATGGTTGGAGTAAGAGATATGCATGTTCTCGGTTCTACCATGTTCCTGGTCCTCCTCTGCTCCTCGGAGCAGTCTGGCTTGTTCAGGACGGGCATCAGGAACAACTGGAAAGCGCATGGAATGTCGGTTCGGTTGCGCCGCCATATCGACGAGATGCTGGGAGTGGGAACAGTCAGTTACAATGCAACCCGACGGGCTTGAAACTCGGAAACGATTACCAAAAGGATCCAATTGAATAAGTTGGCCAATGCGACTAATCCCGCAGCGGCCTGCTCCTGATTCCGCCATGGGTCGACACATCGACGTGTATATCCCAGGCTCCTCTCGCAGGCCCTCACGTCAACATCGTGACTGGGAAATGGCCACGCGCGATCATGTAACGAGTTGAAGCCGCAACACTGAAAGGCGTTTTCAATTCCACGCACGGCATCCTCATTCTTGGCCCGGAACAGGCGGGTCCATTGGTTTTCAACGCCGCAGCTCAAGATATCGGAGGGCACTGCGTATACGAGGGAGAGAATGAAGAGCGCAAAGGGAAGAAAAGGGAGAAAATATCGGAGGTAGGGCGCCAGGATTGCCAGAGCTCTCTTCTTAGCCCTGGCGGAAGAGGCCATGATGAAGGGTCCGATGAGAGCCGTCATTGTGCTCAGAACTGGGAGTGCTAGAGGGCATGGGAGGGCTAGGTGGGTGATCCTCGTCCAGGAAATACTGTGGGATTGATGTGAGACTGCCGAATCCAAGAGTCCAGATTGAAAGGGATTATAGGAGACTTACGCAGAGAGGATGATTGAAGCGATGCCCAGCTAAAATTTGACATGTTAGGACACCCATCAACGCAAGACGGACGGGATATCTCACCAATATTGAGATTAGGCTGAGATATTTGGAAAGGGAATCCATGGCAGAGAAGCGTGGCGGGGGGGTTGATGCGTTTGAAGGTGTTGTTTGTTCTGGGCAAAGACTCCCAGGTACCTACATATATGTACGGAGTAATAGTAAAGGAGAGACCCAGAGTTAGCAACAAAACAGAAAGCTAGAAGGAGGGTGAGGGGAATCGGACATGGTGAGGATTGTATGATGCCGGTCTGGAGCAAAGGACTTGAGCCCAGTCCATGACATTGGTGGCAATGCGGTGTGTGTTACACAATGTGGAGGGCAAGAGGGCCGAAGAGGGCTTGAGGAGGACTGCCAGCTTTGGAGCGCATCACATTGCATATCCTTTATTCTCTTTCGCGGCGAGGCTGCGTTAGCTGAGAAGCTAACTGACGTGTCTAAGTAGTTTTTGGGGACGAGTGGGCACCCTAGCCTGGGCTTTAGCTTTTAGATGTTGCGGGGTCAAAAGGCCAGTCAAGCTTGTGTTACCTAAGGCGAGCCCACTAACTCAGTCCTTACTGGCGCCTGCACAGGCAGGTATCCAATCAATGCCTCTTAAATTGAGGTATCTACATATCCCTCAAACCGCCCTCCTCGCAACTCCAATGCATGTGCTGATTTCATTTCGTATCCCTCAGACCTCTTTCTCTACACAAAGAGCCGCCATGGCAGGGCAAGTGTCTGGCGACGCACATGCTCTCACAAAGCGCTCGCTCCTTCCCATTGCCCTAAGTGTGCCTTTGCCTTCCATAATTTCTCTCACATTCACCACCGCGTGTCGTGATCACCGCCTTAGTTCATCGGCACGTCACACATATTTGCTAGCATGTGATTATATTGAAGTGAATATCGCATTCTGTACAAAGGCTAAGAGTCCCTATCTACGCCTATAACTTATAAGTACCTCCTCTTGTCTTCTATGTTCTTCTCATCTTACATTGCAACCACTCAACCGTTCATTGCTAATTCAGTTGCTGCAGGCTTTGTCTAGATCCTCTGCTCTATCAGCTCGCCGTATCTCGCTCACCTCAACTATCTCCTTGTCGTTTATCCTCTCCGTCACCCACCAGGCTGGACAACTTTGGCAACATGTCGGCGAGAGGACGCGGGGGGGATACCGCTCTTCCATCTCACCCCAGAGGTCGTGGGCATGGCTTCACCGGAAGGGGAAGCATGGGTCGAGGTGGGACTTTTCGCGGTGGCCGAGGTGGTGGTGGTTCCAGCCAAGGAACGAGCGCAGATGCTCCGACTGTCTTCTCGTAAGAAACCCTTGCCATGGCCTGAAGCTTTCCAAGACGAAGAACTCACTGCTTTATCAACCCGTAGTCACAGTCCCGGTGATGTTCCCCAGCTCAATGTGGAGGTCGAGAAGCTTGAGGGCGAAATCGAGCACCATGTCCTCAGGTCGTCCCGCCCTGATCCGAGTCTCCCTATCCGCCCTGGCTTTGGTACAGAAGGACGCAAGGTCTTGCTTTATGCAAATTATATGCATCTCGATTGGGGCAATGTGGTTCTTTACCGCTACAGTCTCAGCTTCTCAACAGATATGGCTACCGGAAAATCGATCAAAGCAAAAGACCAGGAGCAAGTGGTATTACTACTCCTCGCACAGAACTTTTCTCAAAATCGATCCAGCATTGTCACAGATTTCAAGTCCCTAATCATCAGCAAAACCAAGCTTAATCCATCCAGGCAGGGTTACATCGTAACGTACATGATGCAAGGTGAAGATGCACCTTACCCAAAGGCCAAAAAATATCGCGTTGGCGTGACCCTAGAGGGCACTAATACTGTGTCGGAACTCATCGCATACCTGACCTCCACCAGAGCCGATGAAGTCTTGAGCTCGAAAGAAACAATCATTCAGGCGTTGAACATTGTCATTGGACACAACCTCAAAGCGACTTCACAAATTGCATCCGTCGCAAGCAATCAACATTATCCCAAAAATCCTCCGCCGTCGGAGAAATTCGACCTTGGGGTTGGACTAACGGCGATTCGCGGTTTCTTTGTGAGCGTGAGAGCTGCGACAGGTCGTATCTTAGTCAATGTTCAAGTCAAGCACTCACCCTTCTACAACGCCGGCCCCCTTGTGCGTCTTGTGGAAGACTTCGGGGCTGCAACCGGCTTTGACAGGAACAAACTCGACAAGTTCCTCGAAGGACTCACTGTCCACCCATCCCATACTGCTCGGAAGAACAAAGCTGGCCAACTTGTTCCAAGACCCAAAGTCATCAACGGGCTTGCCACCAAGGGGGATGGCAGAAAACTTCCTCATCGACCTATTGTCCCTGAATTTGGCGCAGGAGCGGATAGAATACAATTCTGGCTCGACGCTGAGAAGAGATATGTCACTGTATTGAGCTTCTTCCAACAGACTTACAGTATCACCCTCAAATATCCTAGGATGCCGATCCTCAACGTCGGCAACCAGGAGCATCCAGTGTATTTACCTGCGGAAGTGTGCCAGATTCCTCCAGGTCAAGCATTCAAGCGCCAGCTGTCAAGGGATCAGACGAAGAATATAAGTCGGTTCGCCGTTCGTACACCGGTCTACAACGCGCAGTCCATTGTCCGAGAAGGGGTGGCGATACTCAATTTTGGCCAATCGGCAAACCCAACGCACGTGAGTGGTACACTTTCCCCTCGTCCTGCCGCAGCGCACTGACAGTTCTTCAGAATACCTTCAATCTGAACCTCAAACCCCGACTGATCACGGTGCCTGGTCGCGTGTTAGGCTCCCCAAACGTCAACTATGGGAACAAGAAGACAGTGGCTACTCGATCTGGCAGTTGGAACATGCAGAATACGCAATTTGTCTCGAACGTGAATGTCGACAAATGGACTTGGCTTTTCATCAAGACTAAAAATTACAAAGGCCCATTGAGCAATCGACAAGACCTTGAAGCCGCCGTCAGGGAGTTTGCATCCGCACTCTGCAAGGTCGGCATTCGGTGCACCAATTGCAGCCCTGGTCAAGAGATCACTGTTCAGTTCGGAACAGGGAAAGAAATATCTACTGTCAACGAGGAGGTGGATAAGGCGATTCACAAGATTTCCTCTACCTTCTTCTCAACCTCTGCGGCTGCGCAGAAGCAATTGGTTCTAATAATTCTCGCCTCTGACAAGCCCGAGCTCTATAATAGGGTCAAAGTCAATTGCGACGTGCGAGAAGGCATCAATAATGTTTGCGTGCTGGCTTCTACATTCGCCAAAAGAAATCCGCACGTTTTCGCAAATATGGCTCTGAAGGTCAACCTCAAACTGGGAGGTGTCAATCAGTCGCTGAATCCTTCAAAGCTTGGAATTGCAGCGGGGGGGAAGACCATGTTCGTTGGATTGGACGTCACCCACCCATCTGTCGGATCATTGGATGTGGCTCCCAGTGTCGTTGGCATGGTGAGTTCGATCGATCAGCTGTTGGGTCAATGGCGAGCCAGCGTGGTGATCCAGGAGAGGCGCAAGGAGATGGTATCGGGTTTGAAAGAGCTGATGAAAAAGCATCTTGGCTTGTGGAGACAACACAACAAGGGTCTCTTGCCGGACCACATTGTGGTCTACCGAGACGGTGTCTCGGAGGGGCAGTACCAAGTTGTCCTTGGTGAAGAACGACCCCTGATTCAAGCCGCGTGCGCAGAGGTCTACCCAGCGAATGCCACCAAAGAGAAGCTCCCGCGCTTGAATATCACAATTGTCAGTAAACGCCATCATACCCGATTCTATCCAACAAAGGATAATGAGGCCGATAGTTCCAAAAACCCATTCAACGGAACAGTTGTGGACAGGGGTGTGACAGAAGCACGAGGTTGGGATTTTTGGATGCAAGCACATGCTACCATCCAGGGGACAGCGCGCCCCATCCATTATTTCGTGGTCTATGATGAGGTCTTCCGACACGACCAACAGCGTCAGGCGACAAAACCGACAGGTCCCCAGTTCACAAACGCTGCAGACGCTTTGGAGGATCTCACTCACAATATGTGCTACCTCTTTGGACGATGCACGAGAGCAGTTAGCCTATGTCCGCCTGCATACTATGCAGATTTGGTATGCGACCGCGCCAGGCTGTACCTAAGTGAGGTATTTGAACCTTCGTCCGAGAAGGAGAGCCCACCAATAAGTCAAAACATGGTCACAACGCACCCTCGAGTTGCTAACTCTATGTTTTTCATCTGACAGATGCCTTTCGACTGGTGAACTGAGGATATCGACATCAACAGGCCGGCTAACATCTTGGGGGTTTCTTTCGTGGATCTCTCTGCAATTATGTATAGGGGAAAATGGGGGAACTTTACTTAGAAAACACCTAGAAAACAATGAGAAAGAAAACGTCTGAAGTAAGCCTAAATGTTTCTTGCGCGGCGAAGTCGGACAACCCGCAGAGACTATTGTTATTTAATAGTGATGACGACGATAAGGATGTCTTTCTCCCAGGGGCTTGAGGCAAGGCTTCCGTTTCCACAACCCACCTTCCTCCCGATCGACCTTCCTTTTTCACAGTAGTCAACTCACTGGTGCCTGGTGGTGGTTGGCGTATGGCTCGCTCATCCCGAGCCTAGCCTTAGTGAGACGCTTTTCCAAGATGCGAACTTCCTGATGAGGAAGGTCGTTAACGATGCTCCCAAGTCTGAAATGCCTTGGATTCGTGGAGGCAGTTGGACCTAAAAACGGTACTCGATTCCCGCAGCTGGACCTGATGGGCTCTGCTCGCACAGTCTTCGGTTGAACTGCTGCCTAAAGTCATCAGCTCACGCGCAGCCGCCCCAGACATTGGAAGTTAGACGGGTTGAGATCGATAAATACCTCGACAGCTTGTCGGTTTGCTTTCTCGTCCCGACTCGGATCTGTTCTTCTCTTTGCCCTTGAGTGAAAGATATTATTCCCACCGAGACACTCCAGATGGCCACTCCTAAAGCAACGGAGGGCAGGGTGCCGTTTTCGCATCCAAGCTTGCCAAAGCCCTGCGAGACGTGGTACAAGGTTTATGGGGACCTCACGTCGTCTTCAACTGGGCGGCCTCTGGTCATTCTTCATGGAGGTCCTGGTATGGGTCACAATTATTTATTGAACCTCCACCGCCTTTCGGACCAATATGGCATCCCCGTGGTGTTCGTAAGTGTCTCCCAGGACCTGTATAATGCTCTCAGAGTTCCCATGCGTCGATTATGCACGCAACACGACACGGTTGTGCGATGCTGATGGCAGATTAGTATGACCAGCTGGGTTGTGGTCACTCAACACATCTCCAGGAAAAGAGACTTGACACGGACTTCTGGGTCCCTGAGCTATTCGTCGCGGAATTGGACAACCTCCTGGAACATCTCGGTATTTCAGAGTTTGACTTGCTTGGCCAAAGCTGGGTTCGTTGCCCTTTTCTTTGAAAGACTGCTCCCATGCTTGGTCACGTTTTCATCGTTAAGCCCGATCAGACTCGAGAACACGTTAACATTTTCCATAGGGTGGGATGCTGTAAGTACTGTTACTACAGGAGTCCCCGGAGCCCTCCTATCCATGACCTCCCACAGCTGTTTAATCCAGCTGACGAGACCAGAGGTTCTATGTTCGCAATCCGAGGAAGTCTAGGCCTCAAGAGGCTTATTATCTCCAACTCCCCTGCATCCATGAAGCTCTGGGGAGAAGCATGTAACAAGTGGCGGAGCCAGCTTCCTAGAGATGTTGACAGTGCCTTGACGAGACATGAGGAGAATCAAACTTATGACGACCCAGAGTATAAATCGGCAGTGGAAGAATTCTACAAGCGACACGTCTGCAGAGTCTACCCATTCCCACAGGATCTTCTGGATACACTCGCAAACGTCGAGGTAGACGATGTGAGTCGACAGAGTCATTTTCACTAGCTCGGATTGAGTTTGGCAGGATGGGCTGACAAGACACTTTGTAGACTGTGTACTACACCATGAACGGCCCAAGTGAATGTGAGTCCCCTTCTAGCACTTGGTCACCCTAACACTCCCTTGTCCTCAAAACCCATGTCAGTGCTAACAGTATACTAGTTACTGTGATTGGGAATTTGAAGTGAGTCTCCTGAAGAGGGCCCCAACCCCTTCATCCGGTTGCTCTTTGGTTACGGAGCTCCCGCCCTTCACAGACGCTTGCTATTTGCTCACAAGATCCAGGACCTGGTCTGTGGTTGAGGATGTTCATAAGATCACCGTCCCCACCCTCCTGCTCAATGGAGAGTGGGATGAGGCCCGAGACAGTTGTGTATACCCCTTCTTCCAAATCCCAAAAGTGAAATGGTATACCATACCAGGTGCGAGCCATTGTAGCAATCTCGAGGTCCCCGAGAAATACATGGAAGTGGTGGTGGAGTTCTTGAAGAATGCAGCGTAATGGCGTCCTGGTAATTCTGGTGCAGTGCAGTGCGTGTGTATGATATGAATTCTCAGTCGCCGCCGCTAGCAGACCGTGGCAGGGGAGGGACTAAGTATCCAGCCTCGGGGCTTGGGTCCGCACGGCCTGTTGTCTTGCTCCGTGAAGGACGATCATGTACGAATGAATCTTGCGGCGACTCGGGGCAAGTGACTGCTGGTGTTGATCGGGATCCGACTGAGACATATCACTACGCAATAGTGGCGAGATGCATGATGTGAGCAATATATGAACACGATCCAAAATATCCGATGGCTGGCTGCATCAGTTCCCTTTTCTTGCCGCCAGCAACATCACATAGCAAGAAAGGCGTGTCCAGACGCAACCCAATTGCATTGCTGCACAAACACTACCAGCTTTCCAATACTTATCTTTTGCGTACACGTTCTGTTTTGGTCGTCACATTGAACCTCACCATCACCCATACCGCATGCATGATCAAATACACGGGTAACTTCCTGCGTCTTTCCCGAACTGAGACAATGTCGCCAATACTCCATACCTTGAGATCAATTTCAACCGGATTTCTTCCTTTTCGGCCTTCGCTTCTCCTCTTCTTGAGCCTTCTTTTTCTCCTGGGATTTTGTTTTTCTGACTTGCGACGGCTTCAAATGCAGATTTATGTTGGCCCTTTTCCTTCGCCGTAAAGTTATCTTTGTTTTGCTCGACCTCGACCCCGCCCCGGCCATTGATCTATAGTGAGAGTGCACGGTCACCGTCGGTCAGACTCGTCTCACAGCAGAGATGACGGTCCCCAGTCTGTGTTTCCGGGCACCTCGAGACACCTCCAAAGGCGGAGAACTTCACATGGACAGCGAGATTGTGGCGGATAGCGCCCAGCTCTTCCGGATACATTTCAGCTTGTTCATTCCGTGCGGCGACTTGGGTGGGAGGAATCCTAGGAGAGGAGGCCTTGGGCAGAATAGGCCAGGAGCCAGTGACGGCGGCGTAGTCGCTCGACACAGCGAGACAGGTTGACTCGAACATCAACGGGAGTCGAGCAGAAACATGGTGGAATTGTACTCTTTTGAAAGTGAATTATGTAAAACCATAATGTTACATTTTTATCGGCCCGACCTCTGTCCCATGGATGGTGACTCTGTACCATCCTTCATAGCAGGGTCCGACTGGTGGTCTCCTGGCTGCCAAACGAGGAGTGAAAGGGCCGTCCTGCACTCTCAGAAATGAACAACAACCAAGAATATATTGGAGGAGAGTGAAATGGCTGCGCTCAATGATATAATGCTCGACAGATCCGACTGGCTGCTGGTGGTTCATGGCACCGTCATTGTCCGCCCACGTTGAAGCGATAAGGCGTCTGTAGGTGGATCGGCTCAGCTAATCCTTATCAATCTCACTGAGATCCGAGACGTGGTTTCTAGGATTGCGGTGGAAGATTACACGATCTTCCCAAAGGCCGGAATGAGTGTTTGAGCTCTGAGAGGCTGTTAGCAACTAGAATGAAGAAAAAAGATCAGTCAGTACTCACAGCCAGAATGAGAACACGAGCTTTGGGCCAGTCATGAGCATCTTGGGGACAAGGCCCTTGAAAAAACTCGACACGCCTTCGTTTTTGATCATGCTCGTCATAATGCGAACGCCAGACTCTGGGTTGAGATGGTCTCGAGACTGAATACGAACTTTGATCACATCAAGAGGGCTGGAGACGATGAGGCTGGCCGATGCCCCTGCGATAGAAGCGACAAAGTTTTGACCCCATGTAGCTGCGTTGTAATCCTCGAGCTTGAAGAGGTATTCTTTAGTGAACGACGAGCCTCCAAAAAGAGCAAACGAGCCCGGTGCATTTCGAGCACTGTGCCATGTTAGTGTCGCAAGTACTGAACTTACACAAATTTGTCGGGTCTGCTCTTACACTGTCCACCCCGCGCCCCGGTACAACCCCAGACCCTCCTCCCTCACAATCTGGATGAATCCGCGGGAACGGAAATATGCTAAATTTGTTTGCGCCCGAATTTTTAATACGTCGAGGGGAAGCAGCAATCCCACTTCGCCTATGCCGATGAGAGAGCCAGCGGTCGCGCTGAGCATTGCTTTGCCGGTCCCTTTGCCGAACGCCTTGTCGAAATCTTGGGCGTGATGCTGGGTTAGGTAGTCGCGCACAAAGGGCTGACCGCCGTATTTATATATTCTCTGCAAGATCTTGTAACCTGCAGCATATCCTAGACCAGGGAAGAGGGATGCGAACTTCGTGAGCACGGGGGCTGAGGCGGACTCTTTGAAGATGACGGTATTGAGGGCGGAGATCGAAGCCACCTGCAAATCGTCAGTTGGCACGCAGTATTTGAGGTTGGAATATGGGACGTACTCTTGTTGCATTGTTCATCAGCCTTTTCGCGATGGTGTCAACGGGATGGAAGACCAGCAGCTCAGCGACCCCAGCGGAGCCTGCATTGCCAACGGATTAGCTCCGGCCTGTCACGAGTAGACAGAGATATGCCATTACCTGACCCCAGTAACCGGGCAAGCCCTGATTCTGTCTTGTAGCTTTTACCGGGCACACCCAGAGCTGGCGCCATAGCAGGAGGTGACATGATGGAAGGACGATGCGCAACGGATTGCGCACGGAGATGGGCGTGGTCGCGGTCGAAAACGATGGGACTCGGTGATCAGAAATGCCGGGAAATATCTTGTCTATGCCAACTCCAGGACTGATATATGAAATGAGAGCTGTGAGGTCTAAAATTTTTTTGACGCAGAAGAAAACATGTGCATTGGGAAAAAAAGTTCGAGGCTCGATAAGACTCTGTCGGGAGACGAGGGCGGGTCCATCCGCCTTTTTGGGGGAGGAGAGTGGAGAAAGACCCTGGCTCGGCTTTGAGTTTTAGCTCATCCTTATCTCCGAAAGCCTTGCCAAATACGGGGGCTACAGAGGACATGAAGAACCACCACAAGGCTGTTGGCTAAAGAATATCATCTTTTCATTCATCTGGCCATATCTACTTCATGCTCGCTCGCTATGCAACTTGCATCCATCTAGAAATAGCCCACCAACATTTTCCCAACCCGCGGCTGCATGCCTGGTCCACCAGGACAGCAGCCTTTGAGCGAATACAATCACATCTAAGTGATAAGCAGTTTCTTCTCCGGCGCCACAGGCATGTTATCTTCCTCGGCTTTTCGTTTACCAAGTATTGAGGTAGAATAGTCCCCTAGGCAAGATGAATGATAATATCGGCCCCCAACTTGAACTGCGTCTTTCCAAATAAAATCCTGCACTTCCTCGCTCCATTCACTTTTGAACGCCTCCTGATCTATTGGACAGGGCAATGATCGCATAACTGGATCGGCTGGCACTCGCACAAAATCTTGGGGTTTCTTCTTCTCGGCCACCCCACCTCCATTTATCGCATGACCGTTTGAATCCACCGGCCCAGCATCGTCGTCATACTCTCTGCTGGCGATCCATTCTCGCTCATCAACATACCAACTGCGGTTCTGACCCCGCTTCTCCGCCTCCAGCATTCTGGCCTTGGTCTTAAAGTGCCAGTCGAGGTGCCCAGCCTTCTTCTCTTTCCCAGCCTCGTCCGACGTGAACCTTCTCCCACAAGTACTGCATTGATTTGGGCGAGCGTTGAGGAAGATGGAAATCATCTGGGGTCTTGGTATCCTGATGGAAGCAGAGGTAAGTTTGACCTCCGCTGTCGCATCCGGTGTAAGTGTAGAGAAGGATGCCATGGGTGGAGTCACCCCTGGAGGAGGCGTTGGCGCTGCTGATAAGAGCCCTGATGCTCGGAGCTGAGCTATGAGCGGATTCTCGGTCGGCGGAGGAGGGGCGGCGGTCGTATACTGTGGAGTACTCACGCCAGATTGAGATGGGGGATAATAGCTCGGCGGCTGTACCGCTTGCTGTTGACCGAGAGTCGTTCGAAGTAGCTCCGCAAGATTCGTACTGTTGAACAAAGCCGTCGGAGGAGGGCCAGGAGTTGATCCTTGCGCAGTTACTTGTATGTGTTGAATGAGTGGTTGTGGAGGGACATAAGCTGCATGTAGGGGGATGTTGGGCACCGGCGCTTGCGTCACAGGTTGGCGGCTGATGGCCATCTTTTCTGTCATCTTTTGCATAATGGTGTTTCGAATGTCAACCAAGTCGCTTTCCGAGGCATTACCACTGTCGAGGATTTCTTTCAGTGTTTGCAGACTAGCCAATTTGCGTTGGGCTCCTGCATCCATGGGATGGGTGGCGCACTCAATTTTAGCATCGGTGGTGAGATCGTCGATGTCCGCATGTAATTTCTGCAGATCAACGGCACCCCCGGAGACAGGTGGGGGCTGAGGAGCCGGAGGCAAATATTGGGGTGTATGGGACGGTGGAGGTGGTTGATAGTAGGGGGTCGGAGTTGACTGAGGCGGATAAGGCTGGCTGTATGTCGCTGGTGGCGCCTGGACATATTGTTGTTGGGGTACGGCAGGCTGTGGTTGCGGACTTCGAATATGCGAAGGGATGTTTGGGGCGAACTGAGGTAAAGTCTGGGGAGGAGTTGGTGTATGGCGGTATGGTTGTGCAGAAGGCACCCTGGCAGGCTGATTTTGGATGGGGGTCGGCTGATGTCGATGAGCTGAGGGTAATTGACCTCGAAATTTGTTTAGACTGTCGACGATGGTCTGGGTACTCGCGATGGGGAAGACGGGAGTGGTTGACAGAGCACCCGGGACCGGTTCTCGCCAGGTCTTCAACATTTCCTCCAACTTTCGCCGCACTGCCCCATCAACTTGAGAATATGCCAGCATAAAGATCTGATGGAGGTTACGGCCAAAGTAGACCGTGTACGGAGACCCGACATTTTTGGCAATAGAATCCAATACGTACAGAGCCGGCAATTTGCGAGCGGGAGGTGCCTGTCAGAGGATTAGTCGTGAGCATGAACGTCTTCAAACAGCGATTGCACGGGGACGAGAAGATGAGAAGGCCATGAAAAGGCAACTGACGTACTCTGTTGATG